CTCCTATCTAAAGGTACCAATCAAACACACTATGCACATAAACATCGCAAGATGCTTGGTGGGAGAGTGTGTGTATGTGTTTGTGTGTGTTTTAATTAACTCCTTGAATGCATATGATGAGCCAGCCACCCAGAATTAGTAATGCCAAACTCCCGATTTGATTCAAATGCAATGAATACAGCAGTCGAATTGTGCGGGCTGGTGTGTCACTCATCAGCTCTCTCATTTGGGCTTCTGCCTCCCAAGTCTAGTTCACAATTTCAGCAACTGGTAAATTATTGAGACGTTCATTAAAATCCATCATCTGTAACAGTCAACTTCTTCCTCGCTAAGCGTAAGCGCAACAAATGAAATTAGTGCATGCAGGACATTAATGAGTAGTCTGCAAACGCATTAATTCCTTCAGCCTTATCTCAGAGAGATAAAATCATAGTAATTTTTGTCACTGCGAAAAAACAGTATCTGAAACTTTTAACTGGCACTGTATTTATTCTTCGGATCCCAGATCCTTAGACCCACAAACGCAAACTAAAGTCCTTTTCTCAAAACATCTCAGTGGAAGGTAAAAGCTATTCAGCCCGATATTAAAGAAATCTCACTGCTTTCTTTTAAATGAAGGAATAATCACTCTTACTTCTACAGGTAGATTTTAGGAGAGTGGGACGTCATTCTGAGCAAGCCGGTTAATAGAAAAGTATTATTCTTTCTCCAAAATTCTCAGCGAATGCAGCAGCAGAAGAAAGCTTTTAGGGTAACTTTAGCTAAGAAAAGCACTTAGGAATACGCAAAGTTTCCTTTTAGGAAAATGATTTCTCCATTTGACAGTGTTGGTACAACCCCAAAATAAATTCAGTGGGAGTCTGAAATGACTCGTGCAGTGCAGCACTGAAACAGCTAAGTATATTTTTTTCCTCCCAGCAGAGGCTTGCTTTACATCCTTGAGCCTTTCCTTTCTACGGGCTATTCACTAGCACAGAGAACGTTTCGAGTGCACAGATCTGGTGACTGTAAATGTTAAACTTGTTCTACTGTCCCCATCCCCACTGCTCCCATCCACGCCTTTTGTCTTTTCTAGCTCTTCCTTTTTTCCTATGGAAACACTAACCCGTCCTTCTTTCTTCCACAAACACTGCACACCTCTTTACCTTGAATTGGCATGTTAGAAAGGAAAAAAAAAAAAAATAAAAAAAAAATACCCAAAACAAAACAACAACAAAAAAAAAAAAAAAAAAAAAAGAAAGAAAGAAAGAAAAAGAAAAGAACGAAGAAGAGAAAAGATGTCACTCTCTCTGGATGCCTAGCATAGCCTCTCTCTCAGTCTACAGAGAAATGTAAATATGCAGTAATTAATTTGGGTTTAAGAACATTCCATACACTAGGGACATTGTTAAGCAGTCACTTTATCTATTTTTCATTTATCAGATTTTATTAAGACATTAAAACTTTATGTTGGGCATTTCTGAGATTATATCATTCTGTAAATTTCACAGCTGTCTGTGACGATTCTGGACACATTGTCTCTACCTTTTCGTCAATAAAGTAAACTTTCTTTCTATTGTGGCCAAATGTGTTATCCTTAAGGATAATGACCCGTCTTAAAAAAAAAAAAAAAAAAAAAAAAAAAAAAAAAGAAAAGAAAATCCGAACAATAAAAGAGCTGTTTGTTTGTTTTTTTTTTTGACACCTTTAAAGCCAATTCCGAGTGCCACAGGTACATCACAAAGTACATCCCAGAAGTTATCCTTTCCCTGAGTAACAAACGGAGCAGATTCCAGTTATAATTTCTTCCTCCAACGTTTCTACAAACATCATCCCCCTCAGCGTACGCATTCTGATGCTCCTCTCAATCAAGCAGCTGAACCGCCACAAACAGAAATAAAGACGTGCAAGTAACTTCGCAGGAAAGGACAAAAATCCTCACATTTTTGGTATAGTAATTAATTATACATGCTATTTCACAAAACCTACTGCAATTTACTAGTGATGCTGAATGAATTAATGAATGTTTATTCGTCTGACACTGAGGATCATTTTCATTCCAAGTGTGTATCATAAATGCCCCCTGATAATGGCCACAGACACACAAGAGAAGTCCCCTTGATTCAGATCCCTTCAGTTGGGGTGACTGAAAGTTTCTGAACTGTTTGCAGTTTACCGGGATACACTGAAACATCACGGGAAAGACGACAGGCAAAGAACAACCTCTCGAGATATATACAGATGCCTTGAGATCCGAACCGCAAACAACTTCTCCTGATAAATCTTTACCTCCTTGTAATCTGCTATTCAATTTTAAAAAGGAATAGTGGGAGATGGATAGTAATAACAAAACTGAAGTCAGTCATGCAGATACAACATGCTGGACCCCAGCGACTGCAGAAATGTGCTCCAAGAACTGTGTTTACCAAGAATCTGAGAAAATAACCTGCCATCAGCATCTAAAAACCAATCATCTGTGCATTGTACATATATACACACGTGAACACTGTGAGCATGTGTGTGTCTGAGGGTCTGTGCATCTCTGCCTAAGAGAAAGCGTGTCCTCCTGGCTGTTTTCTGATAAACACACATATATTACATGGACAGTATCTACTCTGTGTATGTGTGTGTAACTATAGTCAAACACACACAATGTAAACAAATGGTAATGATTAACAGAGATATTGGTTTGTATTACCAATTTCAACTGCAGAGGAAAAATTGTTTAAAAAAAAAAATCGTATGTCCTGAGGTTCATTTTTATTACTTCCCATTTCTATTGCTTGCTATTATCTGCATAGCAAAAGGAGAGCAGCGTATTGATTATTTAACTAGAATGTTTACCAGAGCAAAGCTGGGATCACTGAAAACGAAACATAAGCCTAAGGGGGGGGAAAAAAAAAAAAAAAAAAAAAAAAAAAAAAAACCAAGAAGTTCATTCTATTTCTAAGGAAGATGTTTTGTCCAAAATTATTTCTGTATAAAATTTATATAAACATATATATACATAATGTAGAGACTGCAAATTTTAAAATAAGTCCCCCAACAGGAAAATGAAACGACTTCATTCTGCTTCACAGAGTTTACAAGTACTCTGTTCATCACAAAGTTCAAAGAATAATCGAAATTGCTGGCTTATAAATGTGTATGTATAATCTTAGTGAAGCATATTAAATACTTGAATCTATTAATTGTACGAACAAGATAAATGCATGATCATGATGCCAGATCAGATTCAACACCAGAAACAGTAAGTTTCCTCAGGTAGTTGAACTAAGTTAATGCAACTCACAGGAACAAACCCAATTTTGTTCTATTATTGTAATGATAATAAACCAAAGAAAAACGCCAAGTATTCCAAGTAAGTCTGGAAAATTAATTGCATTAAAGACGACCCAGGAGGAGTGCAACCATGCCAATTCCACTTTCTAGTAAGGAAGCGTTCTAATCACAGAACGAGGATTGAAAGCGTTAAAATAGTTCTTTTCTGCGTTTCCCAATTTTATTTTTCTCCGATCTTTTAATTCAAGCGTTCTTTCCTGTCCTTTCTCTGCGTGCGTGTTCCTCAGCCCACTGAAAATGTTTTTATCTTGCCTTCTTTTCTATGCCTTTACTATCAAATTCAGTAGGTTTGAACGATGAACAGCTTGACTTAGCATATTTTTAACCAGCTGGTCTAGCACCTAGCTTGTATTGCATAGTCAGATACAACCAAATGTTTATACAGGAGGTAGTTTTCACAAAGATGAGAAAAACCTAAGTAACGCGCATCCTGGCGTTCTTTTATTTACCGCTTAGAAATGAGAGTTTGGATTGTTTACTGCCGCCGCACCAGGGACTACTAATAACCTTTAAAAATGAAGCCAGAGGGAAGGGATGCCGGATCATCAATGGACGTGTGTACAAGTGCCTAAGAAGACGCTTCAAAACCTCTCAGGAGCGCCAGATCATATGAGATAAGGACTAAACTCGCCGAGGTCACAAGCCGTCACCAGTGACAGCAAAAACTTAATTCCAGGCAGGAAAGGCTCCTGCTTCGGGAAGGGGGAGACGGGCGCGTCTACGTCACACCCAAACCCCGCTCGTCATACCCAAACCCCGCTCCTGACACTCTGTGAGAGAGGCGACGGCCAAAACTTGCAGGCAGGAGTTTCACTTTTTTTTTTTTTTTTTTTTCCCGCCCCCCCACCCCCCCCCCCCACCCCCTCCACCTCTCTTTCTTCTCCTTCTCCTCAGGCAGAGGATGTTCTCCTGACGGAGGGCCGGGATCTTAACTTGCCTAAAAATAATCGCTCCGGCTAGATCAACAAAAGGTCATGTGCTCGGCAGAGCGCCTTCCCAAGTTTGACGGGAGGGCGAGGCTGGAAGTTGAACCCCCCGCCTCGCCCGCCACCGGGCATCCTCCGTCGCCCGGGGACTCCCCGGGCAGGGGCGGGGAGGCGCTGCCCGGGACGGCACCTCGCCCGGTGGGCGCCCCGCCGGGCCGGGCCGGGCCGGGGAGGGCTCGGCACGGCTCGGCTCGGCTCGGCGCGGCAGGCTCCGCGGCAGCGGAACAAAGCTGCGCGCCGCGGGCGCTCCGCCGGGGCGGCCGGCCGAGGGGGCTCGGCGGCTCCCGCCGCGGCCACGGGGCTCCCCCCGCCCCGCCCCCACCCCCCGCCCGGCTAACTGACACGCCGTTTGAATAGCCAAGGTACCGCGGGGGGCGAGGGGGGGCGGGGGGGGAGCATCTCCCCGGCCTGCCGCCAAGCGCCGGAGTTGCGCGCCCGTCCCCGCGCGTCTGTGCGAGCCCGCACCGCGGGCGGCCGATCCGCGCACACGCGCGCTCGTATGAATTAAACGAGGGGAAAAAAAAAAAAAAAAAAGAATAAAAAAGAAATACAACAACAAACAAACCGCAAAACAGAACACCAAAAAAAAAAAAAAAATAAAAAAAGGGGGTGGGGGGGTGGGAAAGACACCCCACCCCACCCCCCCCCAACGCAAAAGGCAGCGGCCCCCCCCGCCCCAACAAGTCGACTCACCTTTCAAACTCCTGAGGTAAATCAGGGTCAGTTAGCATGCTGGAAAAGCACAATTTCCCTTTGTCACAGCAGCCACCTATGGTCGCCTCCAACTGAACCTGTCAAGTGAGTCCAAACCTTCTAAACCGATTGATTTTCTCTCTCTCCCTCTCCCTCCCTCCCTCCCTCCCTCCCTCCCTCTCCCTCCCTCCCGGCTCGCTCGCTCTGAGCTAGGACTCCTTGACCAGTCTCTTAAAGGGGCAGCGCGCCTCGCAGCAGGCTGCTCGCACAGCTCCCCCCACAGCGGCGCGGCGCGCCGGGCGACCTCCGGGTGCCTGTCCTTGCCTGCCAATTCTGCTCGCCCGCCGCCGCGGAAACGGGAAAGTCAACTCACTCAGTGTCCTAAAAACCGAAGGGGGGGAGGATAAATAGGGGGGAGGAGGAAAAGGGGAAAGAAAAAAAAAAAAAAAAAAAAAAAAAAGCAGCCCGACAATCCACCTAAACCGGCGAACCAGGAGCAAATCCCCTGCGCTGAGGAAGATCAGTGGAGAAAGAAGATAAAACAAGAGCAGACTGATTAAATTGAAACAGTTATCAACTCTCTCGGAGTTGAAATAGGAGAGAAAAGATTAGACACATAAAAATGTTACCAAAGGCATTTGTGCTCCGAAGAATTTTCATTCCTTTCTCTCCCCCCTCCCTCTCCGCTCTCTCGCTCGCTCTCTCGCTTTCTCTCTCCCTCTTTCTCTCTCTTTGGGGAGGGGAAAAAAAAAAAAAAAAAAAAAAACACAACCATCCCGCACAACAATCAGGCATTGTTCTGAGGGAAGAAAAGCAACTTTGACAGATTGAAATATAGCAGAGGCCCCTTCAAGGAAACCTGTAAACAACTTGTCACTCACTCTGTCGGTCTCACTGTTAGCTCTTGCTTTCCACAAAGTGCTGCGAACCGTCCTGGCAACAAACCCAAAGTTTCCTCAGCTCCAAACTCCATCAAACAGCCCTGTTGTGTGCAAGGGAAAAGGTAGCCACATGCCAAAACAGCGGGCGCGCACACACACACACGCACAAACAACAACAAAAATAAACTTCCCGTTCGTCTGCTCGGGCTTTTCTTGTTTTCTCTTTATCCCCCCCCCCCCGCCCCCTCTAGAAGAGCAAGACGACCCCTCCGCTGTGGATCCCTCAGATTCCCCCCGCCCGGGCAGCCCCTGATAACACGGTGGACGCAGCGCGGCCACAGAGCCCCTCGGCTGGCTGGCGGAGCGCAGCCTCCGCGGCACTTCCAATTATCTAGATAAAAATCTGTCAGGCCAGGGAGGCAAGCAGGTAATGGCCCTTTGACACGGGGGTCGGGGGCGCGGGGAGCCCCCCACCCCGGGGACACCCACTCGGCCCCGGCGGGGAGAGGCCGGGGGGGGCAGCGGCCGGGGGAACGCCGCGGGGCAGTGCCCCTCCGACCCCCGGGGGTTTGGCCGGGGGCTACTCTGGAAGCGGAGCGCACAACGCCTCAATAGTCTGCACGGCCCGTGGCCAGCCTGGCACTGAGCAAGCGGCGGGGGGGGGGGGGGGGGGGAAGAAAAAAAAAAAAAAAAAAGAAAGAGTAAAAAAAAAAAAAAAAAGGGTAAAAAAACCCTGGTCTCCCTGTTCTTTAGCACACACATGCACACACACCCACACACAACCACATATCTATACTCCATTCTTTCCAGCTCCCCAGCCCTAATTCCTTTCTCTCTCTCTCTTTTTTTTTTTTTTTTTTTTCTTCCTCCTTTAATTTGCAGCTGGACAACATTAAGGGCCTTTAAAAACCACGAGGTTTTGACCCCACAACAGTTTGATTAGGTCCACTGCCCCCTCTCTTCCCCTCTTATCCTTACCTCCCAGTGACACACAGAAAGCAAGTTTACTTTTTGAAACATATACATATATCCACACACAGTGGCCATAAAATGTGCAACATTTTCGTGCCCGCTGTCTTAAAAAAAAAAAATCCAAATAGAAAAGCTTATTATTATTATTAATATCCGACAGCTACACGGTTTAATTTGTTTCCCCTCTCAATGCATGTTATAAACCGGCAGGCTCACGCAGGGGCTGGTCAGTCCAGTGTTGGCATAAAGGCATCATCAGGCAGAAGCCCGGGATGATCATTTTAATCACGAGTAGCAAACCCACTTGCGACTTAACGCACATCATCCCCAAAGAGCATTAGACCATTCGCAAAACAAAACGCCGAAGCTAAGTTTGCAAAGGCGCCTTCGCTGCAGTTCATAAAAGAGGATCTGCGAGGGCTGGCTCCAGCCTGCCTTACACCACCACCGCGCTCAGAGCGGAGTCGCGTACAATCTGTCAACTTCTGGCACGAGGTAGATCTAATGGCTCCTCACTGTGGGGCAGGGTAAACCGACTTCCTTCAGTAGCCCCTAGCAAATAGTATTTTCCACAGAGGTCCATTCATGGGAGCCTGACAAACCTAGTTAATATGTACAAGGATTTTTCATTTATTTAGTAGCTAGCCCTTTTAGGACAGCTGTGAAGTAGACGTTGAAAAGTCAGCAGATGATTAAAAAGAACAATTCCAAATACTTTCTCTTTCATCTGAGGGTCTCAAACCATGTTAAGTCTCACATTACTCCTCTGCAGGTAATAAATATAATTAGGGCCGATTCCAAAACTTTATTTGTATTGAAAAGTATCTCACTCCACAGGGGCTCCATTCAAATCAGCAAATCTCTGCGTGGAGTAGGAGGCTACTTAGTAGGAGAATTTGGCCTCAAATAAGGAAACTAAGATGCAGGCAGGCTTAGTAGCTTGCCCAAGTTGACACAGTTAGCCAACTCCAGCAAAAGGATGAGAAACAAAGATCCCATGTGCCTCACAGTCAACAACAGTCCTTACGCTGCCGAAATGTGTGTATTTTAGCTATTTTTCCCACAAAGGCATGACTTGTACACCTACTGTTCAGTTAAAACATACTTCATTGCTTTATTCACATTTGTAGGGCCCCTTTTCTTGGCCTTTCATTTCCCCCTTGATGCACCATTGCCTGTCCATAAATGTTGTTCCTCCTCTGACACTCCTTGCTTTGCTTCCCCCCTATTTCCTCACACTTGACCTGGGAGAAGTTCGCAGAGAGAAGCCACTCAGAAGACACAGCTGGAAGAACACTAAGACCACCTTTTATTCAAACAAAATTCAACAGTTTTGGTAGAGCAGGACCAACATATTTTGAACTGCATGTTAGATCCACTCAGCTCTGTAACATCACATCCTTTTTTCAATTCAGCTCCACTCCCTTCTTCTACCACGTCCTTCCCTCATCTGTTCACATATATTTACCCCTTCCTATATCACTTCCCATTTGAGCTTTTTCAGGGTCATGATCACATACTCCTGCAAGCTGGTATTATGCCTGGCACAATCGGGTTCCTTGGTTGCTGGCTCTCAGCTAATATGGCTATAAACCAGAGCAATCACCATCAACAGCAGGAATTATGGAAGAGGACATTGGCTAGACTAGGAAGAAGTACAGAGAATCATAATAAAAGGGGGGGAAAAGCCAAAAAAAATAACGTTCAGGGGAGGAAAAAAAAATAACTGAACAAGAGGGAGAGCTGAATAGGGCAGTGGAAATGGAAGAAGGAAGTAGAAATCATTCCCCTGAATGTTCCCAGCATGAACCCTTCCTTTCCCTTACCCAAGTTTACGTGTACTCTTGCCCCAATGCATTTTGTGCTCAGGTACCTACCCCTCACTCCGGGTTTCCTTTATTTTATATTTTCTGCAACTATGGAGCTTCCTCTCCCAGCTGAGTAGGGGGAAACAGAGTTGGGTCCAAAAAGGTAAAAAAAAAAAAAAATTACTGTTACTACTGTATTGCTGTACCATTGTATGGTTATTATTGGATTATTAAGTCTATTGCATAGACATCGATAAAATTATGTTCTCATAGTAAGTTCAACTGCAATAAGAGGGAGAAAATGCAAGTTAAACAAATGGTTTGAGGGAATCTCTGAAACCTTTCTACAGATCATTTCATATTAACTTTAAGGTTTGATTTTTAGAAATTGCCAGGACATATCACAAAGGCTGCTATCATCTCAGAAAGTGGAAAAAAGGAGGAATTAGCATAAATAACCACTGACTGAGAGAGAATAAAATGTATGTAATATGCAACTGTCCAGTTTTTAACATGTGAAGTCTGATCTTGTCCTGAAACTTTTGACTAGTAATAGCAAGCCCTGTTGCTCCTTTTTACTGAGCGCACTGTAGTTACAAACCCCACTTGTAACCTGGGAGATCCACATTCAGTTCTCTCAATTCTCTTCTCCAACTGAGAATTCAGGATTTAAATTCAAATATCTTCAACTGATGAGAAAAATGAAATCTCCCCCCTAGCACTCCCCCAGCAGTTCAGTGAATCTGCATTTCTCTTGATTTGCCTCCTTTAAGGGGTGCCCAAAACCAACGAGTCCAGGTAAAAGAGGACAATTTGAGTTGAACTAAACGAAAAAGCTCTGATTTTCATTTGGGTGAGGGGAAACAACTCAGTCATAAACTCCTATCTGAATTTTTGTGCTTAACTAAATTTTTGTTGCTATTGTGGTTCTCCAGTTCAAGAGGTGAACCAAAAAAATCAATTATCCACCCAGCTCAAGTTAGAAATACCATAACTCTGGAATATTGCATAGACAGAATCCACAGGTCTTTATAGAAGCATACTGGCAGAAGGAAAACCTTAAACGAAATATTACTTTTTTTTTTTTAAGTCATCAAACGATAGCACCTCAGCCTAGTGCTTTTGGCAGATACTGAAATACAGTAAGTAAAGGAAGTGCTGGGGGAAAAAAAAAAAAAAAAAAGGTGCTTTTTGGGTTTTGTTGTTTCCACTGTAGGTTTTAATAATAGAGACCTACAAAGTCCAAGGAAATGTAAGATGTTCCACAGAATGTTTTACTGGAAAATTCTCACAGAAATATGCAAAACTCTGAAGATCCTAAATGGATTTTCTTTTTTAGGCACACGTCCAAAACAACTGCAGCATTAAGAATGAATCTGTAAGATTTCTAAGAAAGGGTGTTTTGGAGCAGGTTATGAGAGAGCAGAGGGAGAATAGAGTGGGGTTGATGCATTTACTATGAAGAATACCT